AGAAGATACGTCCCGTAAAATTAAGAGACTTTGTTGAATTGTAATTTTGTGTTTGTAAACTCTGTACATTTAATTAAGTTATTGTTTATTGGTTTAATGTCCCGAACAATACTAAGGAAGGGGCAGTGTTACGACAGCGGAGGTCACGTGACCCTGGTAGCACCTCATGCACTTCTAAAACGTTCATGAAACCTCGAGAGCCTACTAGATATGCGGTTGTCTTGTATATAAAAGACGGTCAAGACGTGACGGCAACAAGGGTAGTGTGTAATTGAACTGCGGACAGAGAGAGAGAGAGAGAGACGTATTGTTGAGCACGTGAGATGTTCGTTGCGAATTATAGTGTTTGTTATAACGTGACCGTGGAAATTAAGTGTATTGCAAAGTTGTATTTAGAAAGAATAAACCAGTTTTATTTATGAAAAGACTTGTATTGCTAAAGTTTCTTCAGAAAGAACTTATACGGAAAATTAACTAACGACCAGAGACGTAACAATATGTTTCCTTTGGAATGTAATGCATGTTGTAAGTACTATATGATTTCGTTTGGTTATACATAAACCCAAAAATATGTAAGTAAGTAATAAATTGGAAGTGAAATACCGTTATGTGCACTAATTCAGTTAGCTTAGATATGGTCATGCTTTATACTGATGCTTTCTAGGTGCTTGTATAGTTAGTAAAATGTATGACGTGAAAACTTTGTGCAGTAATATGCAGCATAAATGTTACGTGGAATAAATCTATTAACCAAGTGTTTTTGAGATTGTAAGATTACATCTAAATAATTATGCTAAACCGACAATAATTATGTTCATGTGTTGTAAACTCTAACAGTTATATATATAGTAACTGAGAACGTACATGAGTAACCTATAATAAATAGAAGCAAAGTACAAACAGATTGTGTAAAGCTTACTAGGCAGCGAAGCATTGATGAAAACATGAAGATTTTGTGGGGGAAATTTTTTTATTAAAGCAATAAAAGAATAGCTAATTAACAAATTTTTAATATAAAATTCGGCTGATAAGAGTTAGGGAGAATGGAATGCCATAGAAAAGTACAGTACGTGTTAAATAAACAAAGTAATGAACAATTCATACAAGTTTTTAGCGATTGTTCATAGTAAAACTTTTGTTTATTTTATTCACAAAGTTTCACCAGCTTTACCTAGCATCATTAGGTGGGTTACAAGAACTGAATTTAATTTAACAAATAATTACGTGAGAATCCATAAAAATAGCAATCTACAAGTATAAGACTAAGCATTTGTAACAAAAAAGTAATTTATCAACGAACTGTCAAATTTAGGATGATTAAAATGTATAGAACCAATTTCAATACTTAAGACTTGGGCATATTTATTATACCTAAATTTGACAGTTCATTGATAAATTATTTTTGCAACTGAGTAGTCCTATGCTTGTAGATTGCTATTAATATAGATTCTCAAGTGATTTGTCTGTAAGTCTCAGTTCTTGTATCCCACTTGATGATGCCAGGTAAACCTGTTGAAACGTT